AGATAAAAGCTCACAAAAGAAAGTCATGCAGCCCAAAAATGATGCTGGTTGAATGAGAGGAAATGAATGGTCTAGACCCAGAGACAAAGAGAATGGGACAGAGACCTTCTGCCAAGAGCCCTACTGTTTGTCCCTACGCTTGGCAGGAAGGGAGGGTGAAGGCTTGAACCCCTTTCTGATGTGTTTTGTTTAAATGCAAAGTGTGTGGGGGGGAATCGGAGGGGGAGACGAACCATGAGAGACTATGGACTCTGAGAAACAAACTGAGGGTTCTAGAGGAGAGGGGGGTGGGGGGATGGGTTAGGCTGGTGATGGGTATTAAAGAGGGCATGTTCTGCATGGAGCAGACAATGAATCATGGAACACCACATCAAAAACTAATGATGTATGATGATTAACATAACATAATAATAATAAATGAATAAATAAATAAAAGCAAAGTGTGTGTGTATGCACGTGTGTGAGTGGGGGGTTGTGTTGCTCACACAATCCACAAAACGCCGGTGTTGGATCCTGGCTGAGCTGATTACAACAAGGACACCTCAGTGTTCCCCTAGGTAGCACCAGGGAGGCTGAAAGAAAGGCATCCAGAGCCCGGAAGCAGCTTTTCTTCCTCTAAAGCCAAGGATGTGATTCCTCAACCCTTTGGAGTATTACTTCGTGGGGGAGAAGAGCCTGGCCTGAGCATCTGAAGACCTGGGTTCGAGTCCAGACCCTGCCTGGAAGTGAAGCCTATTGTGGGGCAAAATCATTCATTCATCCCTTCATCTAACTATCCATTTAACAAATATTCACTGAGCACATGCGAGGCACCAGGCGCTGTTCTCGGTGCAAGAGATGCAGCAGTGATCAGGACGACTCTGCCCATGAGAAGCTTACATTCTAGTAAGGAACAGGCAACCCTCTATAGGGAGAGTAAAGCAGGGTGACGGCACAGAGAGGAAGGGTGCTATCTGTTAGGCTGGTCAGGGAGGAGGGGGCTATGTTGGCTGCGAGTCAAGGGATTTCTGAACACAGGGGCAAACAGGTACGAAGGCCTGGGGTGGGATGAGCTTGTGTAGGAAACAAGGCAAGGGAGGCGGCATCCTGTGGCCCAAATGGAGTGGAGGTGAGAGGTGGGGGGCAAGGGCAGAGAGAAAGGTGGCAGGCAGATCACGTGGGCCGTGCGGGCGGGCAGCGGGGAGTTTGGGTTTTTTTCTAAGAGGGATGGGAAGCTACTAAAGGGTTGGGACAGGGAAACATGATTTGATTTGCATGGCAAAGAGACGACTGGGTCTTGTGGGGAAGACTTGGGTGGGGTGGGGTGGGTGGCAAAAGTGGGAGCAAGGGACCCAGTGAGAACGTCCCTGTAGTACTCTAGAGAGGAGAGGGGGGTACCTTGGCCTGCAGTGGGAGCAGCGTGGAGGGCGCAGGGATGCACACTCAGACTACATGTGGGAAGGGCAGCCAAGAGGATCCACTGGGGCACTGAAGGTGTGGGGTGATGGAAGGAGAGGCTCCAGGACAACTCGTGGGTTGTGGCTGAAGCAAATGGTTAGACAATGACTCTATTTATTGAGTGGGGGCAGGCTGGAAAAGGGAGATCAAGAGTTCAGTTGGGGACATTGCAAATTTGAGCAAATCATTTTCTCGCCTCTCTTCTGGCCTCTCCCTTCTCACCTCTACAGCGAAGGGTTGTATAGGTCACCTGCAGATCTCCTCCGTGGTGATTAGGGCTACTTTCCCTAATCCTTACACATTCCCATGCCGTTTAAACCCACTAATAGATTCTGAATTCAGAGAAAAGAAGCAACAGTACCCTTTTAATTCTCTTTGGGAGAGAGGGAGAGAGAAAGACCCCACAAAAGCAGGTCCCCGTGTCCCACAAGCGTCCCTCCCATGCTGATGTCCTGATAACCATGACAGTAGAACCAGGGTGGAGGGCGAGGGGGGGCAAGTCAGCACACAGGCCCCAGATGAGGAAGAATCACCAAAAATGTTTGACCAGCCAGAGACTGATTTGGATTTCAATTCCTACATTGCTTAGGTTTGCACTTGAGAAGTTTCAGGGGCTTCTGAGCGAAGGAAAGCATTTTAGACTTTCAATTACAAACCAGCTCAAAGTTTATGATCTGAGCCTCACAGTTCAACCTGTTTGAACCCCCAGGTACTGCACTCTAAATGTAAAGACCTCTACCATCTCTTCAAGTGAGAAAATTCTATGGTTCCATTGTTTTGAAGGAGAGAAAAAAACCCAAATGCATGTAGAAGTCCAAGAAGCTTGAGACCTGAATGGATAGTTTCTGAAGGAGTTCTGCAAACATTTTCATTCAACATTTTATTTATTTGGCATTTAGTATGTGCCCAGGGTTGTAAAGACATAACCCTGAAAATACAGATGAAGTCTCTTTCTCACAGAGATTTCACTCTAGTGGGAGATGATAGATAGATAGATGATAGATAGATAGATAGATAGATAGATATAGATAGATAGATAGACAGACATAGACAGAAAGAAGAAAGGAAGAAAGGAAAGAATGTCCAGGTGGTGCTGAGTGCAATGGAGAGAAATAAAGCCAAGCAGGAGGCTAAACATATCAAGACTGGGGTAAGGAGGCAGTAGGGACCAGTGATACTAGTTTGAATAAGGAGGTTAGGGAAGGTCTTTAGAGGAAGCAAGTAAAGAGTCCTGCAGTGGAGTCATGTTTGGAGTGTTCTATTAAGAGCAAGGTGTGACTGGAGGTGGGTGTGAGAAAGGAAAAGAGGAGGAGGTAGGCTCAGGAAGCTCGGGGGTTGCAGATCATCTGGGCCTTTGGATTTTAGGATGAGTGAGATGGGAAGTGATTGGAGGATTGGGAGCAGAGGAGTACCGTGACCTGAAAACTGAAGAGGACCCAGACTGTGAGCGGTGGGCGGAGACCAGGGAATCCCCGGGGCCTCAGACACCACATCAGGATACTTGAAGCTCTAAAGCGATCAGGCATATTTGTTCCACCAAATGTTCAAACCAAAATCATCATGAGAAGCCTACACCACTGCTGCTGGAAGCTCCAGTCACTTGTGCCCTGCAGGGTTATTGGCTGTCTGCTGTGTGCCACATCCTGGGGATTCCATGGGATGGAAGACAGTGTGTGTGTGTGTGTGTGTGTGTGTGTGTGTGTGTGTGTGAGAGATGGGTAGTGGCAAGCAAGCTGGACTCCAAATCCAGGGTCATAATAGCAGATAACAGGGGAAAGGGAGTGATAAGAGCCAAACCCCTGCAGTCCTTGTTGGAAGAAAAAAGATATTGGTTAACTTTTGACTTCAGCCTATAGAATTAGTCTATACGTACAAATAGCCTTGGCAACCATTAAAAGGACAGAGAGATAGCATGTGGACCTTACAAACTAGTAAGGGGGAAAAAGAAGTAGAAAAGGGAAAAAGAAAACCTTAATTTTGTATTTAAAATGGCAAGACAGGGGCGCCTGGGTGGCTCAGTCATTAAGCGTCTGCCTTTGGCTCAGGTCATGGTCCCAGGGTCCTGGGATCGAGCCCCGCATCGGGCTCCCTGCTCCGAGGGAAGCCTGCTTCTCCCTCTCCCACTCCCCCTGCTTGTGTTCCCTCTCTCGCTGTCTTTCTCTCTCTGTCAAATAAATAAATAAAATCTTTTAAATAAATAAATAAATAAATAAATAAATAAATAAATAAAAAGGCAAGACAGTGGGGCAAAAGACAGAAGAAGGTTTAGAAAATGGGTCACATAGAAAGTACAAGAGTAGCAATAAATCCAAATGTGTTAGTCATCAGAATACATGTAAATGGATTAAACATTAGAGTCAAAAGACCTCAATTGTCAGATGGGGTTTTTTTTAAGAAAATTAGCCATTTATAAGAGACAGAGTTATCAACAATGTAAAGATACAAAGAGGTGGAAAGCTGATAGAAAATGATACACTAGGGCAAATAAAGTGGTGGTGTCCTGATATTAGTATCAGACAAAATCAATGTTTACACAAAATGTTTACAATAGTGAAGAAAAAGTCACCTTACAATGATCAGCTCTTCAGTTCAGTGGGAAGATACAAACATTCTAACCCTGTGTGTCCCTAATAATATAGCCTGAAAGTACATTAAGCACAAGTTGTCAGCGCTGTAAGGAGAAATTGAAAAATCCACACTCATAAAGGGAAATTTCAAAACTCTCTCAGTAAATGTTGGAAAATGCAACCAAAAAAGAAATCTGAAATATACATAAACTTTGAGCAACACATGACCTGACATTCCTTGCACCTTGCATCTAAGCTTATGTACCCCCTTGTATGCACAGACCAATGCAGAAGCACAAGGTGAAAAGCTGGCCTCCACGGACATCCAAGGATCGGAGCCTTCAGACCACTGTCTTTTTTTTTAAAGACTTTTTTAAAAAAGATTTTATTTATCTGTTTGTTTGTTTATTTATTTATTTGAGAGAGCGAGCGAGCAAGCAAGCTCGAGCGCATGTGAGGGTAGGCGGAGGGGCAGAGGGAGAGGGAAAAGCAGACTCCCCACTGAGCATGTAGCCTGACTCCCCCGGTCTCTATCTCACAACCCTAAGATCATGGCCGAAATCAAGAGTCCGATGCCTAACTGAATGAGCCGCCCAGGCGCCCCAAAACCACTGTCTTTGACTATAATGCAATCTATTTAGACAGCAGTAACAAAAACATAATGAGGAAACCCAATATGGTTGAAAATAATACTTTTTAAAAACTTCTAAGTACCCCATGGGTCAACAAGGAAATCATGGTAGAAATCAGAAAATAAATAGAACTAAATGAAATGAAAATGCAATTTACCAAAACCTGTGGAATTCCACTAAACTGGTATTAAAAGGGAATTCATATACTTAGAAAAGAAGAAACGCTGAGGAGTTCTGAGATAAGCATTTAAGAAGTTATAAAAAAAAGAACATTAGGATAAACCTGAAGAAGTAGAGGGAAAGATATAAGTAAAATTAATGAAAAACATATGAAGATGAACAAAGCAAACAACGATTACTTGATAAGTCTCATCAAGAAAGAGGAGTACAAACACATCAGAATTTAAATAAAGTACTATGAGCAACTTTTTTGCCAGTAAATTTGAACACTTTGATGAAACAGATGAATTCTTAGTAAAATACAAATTAACAAGAAGCTCAAGAAGTAGAAAATCTGAATATTGTTTATCCCTAAAAGGAAATAAACAGCTTAAAATCGTCCAACAAAGAAAACACAAGGTTCCCAGTCAGCTTTTTAGGTGAGTCTTACCAAACTTCCAAGCAAAGAGATTATTCTAATTTTATTAGAATTGAATAGAAAAAAAGAGAGAGTATTTCCTAACTGGGGAAAGGCAGAGCAGTAAATTTTTTTTTTTTGCCACAAAAATAGATGTTCTCCAACTTACTTCAGGACAGCTTTTTTCTTATAATTTTCTTTTTTTTTTTTTCATTTGACATATATTATTTGTTTCAGGGGTACAGGTCTGTGATTCATCAGTCTTACATAATACACAGCATTCACCATAGCACATACCATCCCCAGTGTCCATCACCCAGCCACCCCCCCCCGGCCCCCCTCCACTCCAGGAACCCTCAGTTTGTTTCCTGAGATTAAGAGTCTCTTATGGTTTGTCTCCCTCTCTGGTTTCATCTTGTTTCATTTTTCCCTCCCTTCCCCTATGATCCTCTGTCTTGCTTCTCAAATTCCTCATATCAGTGCGATCATATGATAATTGTCTTTCTCTGATTGACTTATTTCGCTTAGCATAATACCCTCTAGTTCCATCCACATCGTTGCAAATGCAAGATTTCATTTTTTGATGGCTGCATAATATTCCATTGTATATATATACCGTGTCTTCTTTATCCATTCATCTGTTGATGGACATCTAGGCTCTTTCCACAGTTTGGCTATTGTGGACATCGCAGAGCAGTAAAATTTTAGAGAACAACATAGGAGCGAGCATACCTCCATGACCTTAAAAAATGGGATTTCTTACACAAGATACAAAATGCGCTCCACGCCATGGAGAAAGTCACTGAAAATTCACCTTCATTAAAAGGGAGCTACCCTTTTAACTGGTGCTACTACTTCAGAAAATATGTTGACATTACCTCACTAATTTAAACATATATATATATATATATACACACTTTGAACTTGAGATTTCACTCTTATGGACCTACCCTTAAAAGACCTGAGTGCATTGGAAGGTACATGTAAGAATGTGCATAAAAACGGTTCAAATCACTAAAACTAGAAACAACCCAGATATTCCACAGCAGTGAAAAGGAACACACCACTGCCACCTCCGTGCACACGGGAGACTCTCAGAGGCACACCACAGACAAAAGCCAGTCACAAAGACTTTGTATAGTAGGATTCCATTGATATGAAGTGCAAAAAAATGGGCACAACTAAAAAGACATCCAGATGCATGCAGGTCATGTTTTGTTGATTCTAAAATACACTTTTCACATTCTAATCTCCCTAAACGGGGGGTGGGGGGGGATGCATCTTATAAGCAGCTGCATCTTGCAATGACGTTTAGCAGCACTTTTTCTTTCTTAGACGTGAAATAAAGACTCGCCTCACAATTGTGGGGGGCTTAGGTTCAATGAAATATGATAGGTGGTCGAACTATAAAGAAAAGCAGCAGAATGACTGACACAAAATTGGGGAGTGAGGGGGCTAGGGGGAGGACCGGCACCTCGAATTCTATAGTACTGGCCAAATGCTATTTTTCACCCAGATGGTGACTATTGGTGTCTGTTTTATGGTTCTTGAAATACTCTCAAATCCAACATATATGGTAGCTTTCACACAAAAAAGGTGTTTGGAGGCAAGGAAGCAGGGCCACGTGTCCAACAGCTCAGGAAGCTGGATGGTGAAAGGGGGGAAGAGGGGGCGACACTTGCAGGAGGAAATGGAGGGTAGGACAGGAGCTAAATGAAAGCCGTCCCTGACACGTTGGGCAGCACGGTTCCAACACACGAGGAGAAGTCCGGAGCTACTTCTCTGGTGAGCAAGAGGGACAAAGGACAAGACGGGCTTGTGGAATTCGGGGTGGAATCCTGCGCACGTTTTCCTTCGATGGCTTCTAGCCTATTCGTGAAGGATTCATACATGGGGTGGGGGTCCTTACCAGGCCTGGCAGGGATGGGGCAATGGCCATGGCGAGTTGGCGTCTAAAATGCTAAGCACGTGTTCCACGGTTACTATGTGCCAGATTCTGAAATGAGGAGCTTCTGACACCCATTATTCTGCTTACCCCCCTCCTCAGAGCAGCGAGGTAGCTCCTCTCTCCTCAGGCCTGGATTCGTTGCCCAGCGTCGCCATCACAAAATACCACAGATCGCATGGCTTACACGACAGAACGTTATTTCCTCACGGTTCTGGAGAATGGAAACCCGAGATCAAGGTGCTGGCAGTCCTGGCTTCTCCTGAGGCCTCACTCCTTGGCCTGCGGAGGGCCCTTCCTCCCTGCACCCCTGCCCCAGGTGCCTCCGCCCCTTCTCCACAGGAACGTCAGTCCTGGTGGATCGGGGCCCACCCTCACGGCCTCATTTTAACCTGGTGTTAAAACCTAAAGAGGTGTCTTTAAAGGCCCCATCTCCAAACACAGTCAGATTCTGAGGTGCTGGCGGTAAAGGGCTTCCACCTACGAATTTTGCCCAGGCCACGGGAGACACAATCCAGCCCCTAACCATACCCATGAAGAAATGGAGACGTAGAGAGGGGTGAACAACTTGCCAAGGGCATACAGTTGTGTCAGAGCTGAGACGCAAAGGCAAGCAGGTCAACAACAGGGGCTAACTACCAACCATTCCACTCTAAAACAAAAGGTCTTTTGGAGAATTAAAAAAAAAATACTGACCAGAATAAAGGAATACTATCAGACTTTTCAGAGCCAGGCACTCTGTTCCTGCAAACAGAGCAGACGGACTCCTCTCTCAGGGGCTCCCTTTGAAAGTCTGAGCTTTAAGCACGGAGACTGTAATTGCTGGCCAACGTGGCAGGAAAGGTCAGTCATTGAGCATCAGCTGAAACCCTTCGGCCAGAAGCCAGGTTTAAGTTATGGGCTGAGGAGGGTGCCACCTACTGGGCTCTGAGGGGTATGGGTGGGGTATGGGTGGGAAAGAGGCTCTTTTCATGGGCAGTCCTCTACTGCCCTCTGCTGCGCAGCAGAGGAACACCCAGGAATCGACAGATAACCCTGCTTCCTTCAGAGACCCCAGGCGGATAGGGAAAGGTGGGGGCAAGAATCTACTGGAATCTGGTCTGTGGAGGATGTCAGTCCCACTCCTCCCCACACACATACACACATTTCCAATCAATGGTCCAGCCAACTTTCACTTCTTGGCATTTGATAAACTTGCATCAGGGCGCCTGGGGGCTCAATCCATTAAGAATCCAACTCTTCATTTTGACTCAGGTCATGATCTCAGGATGATGAGATCAAGCCCCATGTTGGGCTCTGGGCTGGGCATGGAGCCTGCTTAAGAGTCTCTCTTCCTCTCCCTCTGCCCCTCCTCCCCCAACAACAACAATAAAAAATAACCTTGCTCAGTTGTTTTCATCATTTAAAAAAATTATTTGCTACCTTCTCAAAAATGATGTTTCCCAAGGCCCTAGAATGTGAGAATTTGAATGCATGCTTTGATGACTTAAGAAAACATGGGTTTGCTCATTGTTTCATGTTTTCAAAAATTATAAACTTATTCTATAAAAGTTTATTCTATAAACTTTTTTTTTTTTTTTCATTTTAAAACCATGATTTCCTATGTGATAGCCCAGGGCCCCCAGCATATGGTTACAGTATTTTTGTAAAAATATTTCAATTTCAAATGTGCCTTTTCTTTTAAAAAGTCAGTAAGTAGTTCATGCTTTTAGAAATTTCAGTGTTACAATTAACATAACAATAAAATAAAATTTAAAAAAAAAGAAATTTCAGTGTTACGTACTTGGGGAAAATGTTCTAAGGAATAAAGGTTGCCTTGAATTGAGAAGCATACGTAAGTGCCAGGAGAAACCGCTGACCTGCCCAAACTCTCAGCGTTCCCGGTTCGTGTGCTGCACGGGGTGTGGCCCTGTGGACGTCAGTGAAATTCAAAATGGGGGGCTTACTGTCCTTCAGTGCCTCAGACTCCTGTGTGGGTCCCTAGGCCCCCTTTATGCAGCCCCTGGAATGGGCATTTCAAATGCAAGTCATAAACAAAGAAACAAAATGCAAATCAGATTAGGATCCCCTACTGCTCTGGGAGAGGCCAAATGTCAGGGCGCTTTGACTTTAGAACAAAATAACAAATTCCTTACCAGCTTTACCAGGCCACATGATCGGACTTATTCCAGCCCCTCCCAGCCTGCCCTCGCTCCGCTTCCCTGCTTCCCTTCCCCTTCGGCTGTTTGCATGTTCATCCTTCCAGGAGCTCTCTGTGGCTCTGTTTCAATAGTCTGTTTATTTCCTTCGGGACAACTTGCTACAATTTGTAATAATCGTGTCTGTTATCTGTCGTTCACCTCCTGTCTCCATTAGGCGCCGCCCCCGACCTGGCACGTCCTTTGTCAGTTTCGCTCTTGGCGGTATTCCCGGTGCCTGATGAGCATAGAGTTATCCCAGAGCGAAGTGAGCAAAGGCAGGTGGTGGGAGGTGAGTGACACCAAGTCCGCTCCAAGAACACCCGGCCCCGGGGCGCAAGGCAAGGGGAGCCCCTGGCAAACAGAGCTGCACTTTCATCTTTGACGCACGCTAGTCAGCGAAACCACCTTCTCCCTGCTTGGAGGACGGCGGGGAAGCGGACGCAACCACAAGCCCGGAACCACAGTTCAGGAGAACTGGACGGCAGCAGGGTCCACACAGGCGTGCCAAGCCATCAGACGCAATCATTTAATTAGCGTGTTGGGTGGGGCCCATCCAGGAGGCAAATGCCGGCTACCAACCAATGAGTAACACTTTGTTGATCCAGTGTTTTTGCCTGATGAGGGCCCCAGCGCAGTACCCCCGGCTGACGGCCCGGCTCGGAGAAAGGTATATTCACAGCTGCATTTGACCAATGGACAATAAGAAGAAGAATCGGGGCCAGTGGGCTGGAGACTCACTCCTGGGCCGCAGGCTGGTACCTGGCCTTCCAGTGGCTCTCGTCTCTGTCCTCTCCGGCAGGCAGTCGGAGCCCGAGCGAGGCAGAATACATTCAGTGCTGCCTGTCATCAGCTCAGAATCAGTGGCTTGGGGAAGCCTGAGGACAGCTGTCCCCAAGGGAGGTAGCTAGTGAGGGCTGGAACACTTGCTTGGCTCCAGGGAGGCCTGGGTCAGACATCTTGGGGTGCAGCTTTCCCCTCTTAAGCGCTCCTGGGTCCGCGTAATTTCCTGTGCCCTAGGTTGCTTCTCTCCTGGACAGGATCCTACAGAGAATGAGGTCAAGGCAGGATAAAACGTCTGAGAGCCTCCCAGGCAGGGGCAGCTTCAGGGCGGGCTGATCTGGGGGTTCTTCAGGAAGAGCGCCAGTCTCTGGGCCACGGCGTCCAGGTCGCCCGAGCTGGCAGACTGGAGGAGGTTGCTCTTTCGCACGAAATAGTGCCTCAGAAAGTGCTGGCTCACGCACTTGTGCAGTTTCCTCACCAGGCGCAGGAAGGCTTTGCTGAAGACCTGCCAGTCCTTCAAGTGTGGGTATTTCTCACAAGTCCAAAAGAGCACGGTCTGTGGAAGGAAGAGGTGGTATCAGACATCGTTCCAGGCCACAGGGGAGAGTATCTTCGGATATGTTACTGAGCTCACGTGGCCTTGGAAGGAGGGAGGAGGGAGTCACCCAGGGCAAGGAGGCTCCGCCATGATTTCATGATCCCCACCCTCAGGTGGGCTCTCGGCCTCAGCCTGCTGGTCTCCTTTGTCATTGTTTCTCTTGCCACTGACATTTCCAGTGACCAGCACTCTCCTTAAACCTGCGATCCCCGACCCCAGGCAGATGCCTTTGCCTCCTACTTTACAGGGAAAATGGAAACTCTCATGGCAGCAACCAGGACAGTTCTAGACAGTTCTGCCTACACAAGCCTCTTCCTCTCTTCTTCTCTGCTTGACCACCCCACCTAGCCAGGTGAACCCCAGGCAAGGCTTGGGATCCCTCCTTCCAGGAGCTGTGTGGAACTGACTTCCCTCTTGAAACTGTTCTAAGCTCTCCTGCCCCACCCCCCTCCCAACCTCTCACCTCTCTGCAAGTGCAATCAGCTCCATCATCTGTCATTTCCTCTCCTCTGGTTCCCATCTTAACCCACTGCAATACGGATTCTTCTGCCCTCAGGCCTCAGAAGCTGCTGTCTGTAAGGTCCAGTATCTCCATGTTGCTAAGTCCAACAGGCCTTGCCCGGCCCTGGCCTTACCTGACCCTCCAGCAGAATCGAATTCTCCCACTCAGAGCCTCCCTCTTGAGTCATTCTTCACCGGCTTCCAAGCCACTGTGCTCCCTGGATTTCTCCAGGCACTCCAGCTACTCCTTGGCATGTTATCCCCTTGACCTGCCTCAGTGCTGGAGTTTTGGAGGCTTGGTTCCACCCCCTCTTTTTTTTGTTCTCTCTTGCTTCCTTCCTCGGCAGCTTGAATCCCCACCAAACACACAGAAGTCACTCATAATTTTCTTTCTCCAAGCCAGACTTCTCCTCTGACCTCTTCCTCACCTGCTATCTCTTGGGAATCTGAAAGTTATCTCTGTCAACATGTCCCAGCTGTACTCATGGCCTCCCCCTCCCCACAGACCCCGTGGGCTCCAGAGCTGCTTGTCCAACCAGTCACGCAACACACAAGCCGGGAGTCACCCCTCCCTCACCAGCATCATCAACCCCGCCAGTCCTCTGAAGTGGTTCTCAAACCTACCCGTGTCTGTTCATCTCCACCATCTTCCTCCTCTTCCACCTCACCTGGACCTCTGTCCCCACTCTGGTCCCCATCCCGTCACCACCCATGCTGCAGCCAATGTGATCTTTTTGAAATATAAATCCATGGTTCTTCTTGTCTGAAAGACTTTCAAGCCTTCTCCTGGTTGGTTAATGAAAGACCACAATCCTTCACAGGGTTTGGTGTACAAGGTTTGGTCCCGTCCGTCCTTTCCAGCCTTGGCTTGCCCTCATCCTCCCTTGCTCTCTCCTCCCAGCCCCACTGGCCTCGTATCATGCTCTCTGCTACCACAGAGGGACTTCGCTCACATCCAACCTCTGCTGTGTGGAACATACTTCCTTCCCCCACTTTGTCCAGGACACTCGTCTGTCAGATCAAATTCTCCTATGAGACCATTGGACACTCTCTTCACCACATACTCCTCAGAACACCCATGATCACAGGAGTTGTCATCTCTGTATTTATGTATGAGATCCCGTACGAGGTTGTGAACTCTGTGAAAGAGGCCAATACCTATTTTAATGGCTATTATGTCACTAGCATCCAGCAGAGGAGCTGGCCCATGGGAGGCAGTCAAAAATGTTTAGTGACTAAGGGAAATAATTCACTAATGTTATGATTTGGATGTTGAGCATTTTTAAAATACAGTCTTTACTGAAAAGGAAAAGAGCAGTTTTAGCTTCATGGCAAGATACTGTGTATGTTTTGATTTAGATTACATTGTGTGAAATAAATGAGTTGGAAATAATGTCATACTATCAAGATAGCCTAGACACAAAAAAAGTGTTGTAATTCCTCTTGTAGTTAAGCTTTTATCTCCCTAAGCAAACCCGAAGTGGTTAGGCCTCTTATAATCAAGCCCCTGTGTCTTTGAGTGGGTTTTAGGAATAAATAAGCCAATGAAGGATGAGCTCTTGTTCACACGGAGTTGCTTTGTGGGGAGAGCCACTTTGGGGACGAGGTGAGAACCTCATCAGACCATGTCAGACTGAAGGTGGGGTGATGATGACTGGCACATCCTTCCTAAGGCTGTTTTGCAACCCAACTCTTCTACTTTCCCCAGACTGAAGGCTTGGCAAGGATCCCGCCCACTCAAGCCATCATCCGGGATGGTGTCACATTGTCACCAGCCACGTCCATCACTGTGTCTAAAGGTGAGGGCATCTTGGACCAAGGATGGAACACTAGAACAGGCAGCTAGTAGTGCTTCTGTCTGTCCTGTCCTTCTCAACAAATAACCCCCATTTTCAAATGCCCGTTCTTGAGAATGCATAATTCTGTGCCCTGTTGGGGAGTTAGGGAGAACCGAAACAAAGCACATTTAAGGAGTTGTCCTAAAATCCTCTAGTGATTGAGAAGCCACTGGAATAAAAGTAAATCCTTGGGTGTAATGCAGTTTTGACAGCAGTCAAGGGTTGGGAGGCCCAGGGTGGCCCTATTCAATCTTGTCTAAAATATTCATGTCACTTAATATGTTTCCATCTGTCTTAATTGTGAGGCAGTAAAGTCAATGGTTAAGATCATGAGGTCCAATATGAGATACAATGGAGTTTGCTTCTCAGCTCTGACTCCTCCTAGTGTGGCTTATAGAAAGGCAAGCAAGAAAGAAGCCAAACCCGCAGAATGAACTAGCCTATCCTCAGGAAGCACATGCCTTCGAGAACCGGTGGGTATTTTTAGGGGAATGTGCGTGGGCACATGTTGAGAGTGTTGAAACTCCAGAGAAAGGCCCCAGTGTGTGCAAATGAGATATTAACAGATTCTTGGGCAGGTCAAGGAGGACAGGTTATTAGGAAAGAGAAGAAAGCCAAGCAAAGACTACTGCCTTCATGGGGGAAAAGTTGAATATGATGTGAAGGCATTCATTCATTTGCTCAATAATTATATATTGAGCAACTACTATGTACACAGCACTGGGAGAGATACTAAGGATGCAATAGTAGGTGCCCTTGGATAGCTTACATTGGAGCTAGAAGAGTTATCCAGGGCCAGAAGATGGCGGTCCCCTGAACGAGAGGGGACACAAGCGGGAAGGCACCGCACAGACAGGCGGCCTGTGCTCACCTGTGCAAAAGGTCAGGGAGAAGGGACGAAGCTCCCGGATAGACCCCAGCTAGGCTTGGGCTGTGCTGTCTCTAAGTCGGCCACCTCCTGACCTCAGAGCAACACACAGCTGTGTTCCGGGAACGTCCCATTCACCATGTGCAGTTGGGAATTTGCAAAAGAGGAGTTGAGGGTGTGATGGAAGGCCCCCTCCCCAGGGGGACCCCCTGATGTCCCAGCCCAGGTCAGGGTCTGCTGCTCTGGGCCCGTCCTTCCTGGTGCTCCCCATGCTGTGTGACTCCACGTGCACCTGGGGGACCACCTGACTGCCGATCTCCCCCACTGAACCATCAGCTCCAAGGTAGCAGGAACCACTTCTGTGTTTGCTCACCTTGGACCTCCAGGAGTAGTGCTCACAGCCGGTGTCTGGCCCACAGTAACCTCAATAAACATTTGCTGAGCAAGTGAGTAAAGGCAGTCATGAATGTGTGTTGTTGGGTTTGGGACAAGGGGAGGCAGGTGCTGCAGAGTGAGGGGAAATCCCTGCCTGAGCATTTGGAACCCACGAGTTCAGGTCCGCAACCATGCTCACGTGGCAAGCCCCTTTTCCTGGTGGCCCCCCCTCCCCGACCCCCACCCCCGAGGGGCAGTGGCTGCACCTGGCTAGACTGGGGACCCAGGGAGTCCTAGCACCAGGGGAAACGTGAATTCCCCTGAGGTTTGGGCCATCCGCAAGATTTCCCCAGACTGTAGGCTTCTCAGGGGCGCAGGCCACACGGTATAATTGGTGCTGAACCTCAGCGTGGTTTCCGGCACAGAGTGGGCACTCACGTTGGTTTGGTGAGTGAAATAAGTGGAGGGGAGAGACGGAGAGAGAAGAGGAAACAACCAAAAGAAAGGAGTGGAAAGAGGGCAAGTGGGGCAGGGAAGGGAGGAGGCGGAGGCCGTTCAGCCTGGGCAGGGCTGTCCTGGGCACACATACAGCCCGGCTGTCGGGATCTCACTGGTGAGCAGGCAGTAACATATGGGATGGCCCATAGGGACACTAGGGACACCAGGGCCCCCTCTCGAATCGGTCGCATACACACACACACCCGGTGTGAGTGGCTCTGGCCGGGCCCCGCGGGGCACGCAGAGAGGACCCACACCAAGGCGGGGCGCACCCGCTCACCTGCAGATGGTGGGACGTGATGACCGGCCTCTTTCCCGGACACCAGACGTCCTCCTTCATCTGCCTCAGGGCCTGGAGACACCTGCTGCGGCAGCCCCCGTCCTCGTCCAGTTGCTCCAACAGCACCTGCTCGGCCTGCAGGAAGCTCAGCTGCCAGTGATACTGCGAACGGGCCAGCAAGGCAAACCCAAATGACTGGGAAAAGAGAAAAACACCAGGAAAATGAGGAGGAGGCTGCTTGCCAGAGTAGAAAGCCAGCACTGAAGCCATCCGCTACGCTGGTTTGGGCGGGGGGGTGCGGACCTACCACCAGGCAGGCAGAACCTCCCACGTGGGGACGCGGAGGGGGGCTCAGGGCAAACCCCCTTCCTTGTGCACGGGGAACGGGAGAGACAGTGTCCACTTTCCCACAGGCACCGGTTCTCCAAGCTGAGCCTGCACCTGGAGAGCTTCACACAGACTGCCGGGCCCTGCCCGTGGGCTCTCATGGTCCCGAGCAGGGCCCGGGAATCCTTATTGCTAACAGGCTCTCAGGGGCCGCGGCAGACTGTGGGGCCCCCACCTGGAGCACCGCTGATCGAGTGAAACCTCATTTTTCCCTTCCCAAGCTGGCTGACAGTCAGCGATGCTGGGGGTGGGTAAGCTGTGAGCGCCTCTGCTCTGGCGAGCTGGGCCCCCGGCTCCCCGATACCTTGATGCACTCCGCTCTCTGTCGGGAAGGCCAGCGCCTCAGACAGGGAGGCCACCGAGCTTTCTCAGACCAGGCAGTAGGGATCTCCACTGCGGGGACCAGCTCTAGCTCCACCTGCCACGTGGCTGTTTCCACGGCAACCCAAACTGCAGAGTGGTGTGTTAGCATGCTGACCTTACCTGGTGGGAAATGACAAAGAGGCAGTGAGAAGAGAAAGCCTGGCTCAGGCGAACATTCAAAGGAGGAATTGGGGAACAGTGGCGGCGAGCAGCTCCTTGCGCCTGGTGGGGCAACTGCCACAGGTCGGTAGCACCCCAAGGGTGGGGTGTTCATGGCAAAACTAGACAATTAGCTGAGTAGCTATTGATAGAAACGTTGCTAGAAAATCTCATGGTGGGTGAGTGTTGCTTTTTCCTTTCTCCGCCCGCCCCCTCCCCGCCCCCAGGCTTTTACGGCACCTTTTCTTTGAAAGTAATAAATTCTTTTCAGAAGCCTCAACTGAAGAAAAGAGACACAGAAGACAAAGATGGAGTATTTGCTAGTAAAAATGAAATCCAACCATTCTTCTACGCCCCCTCCATTCTGCCCAGATGTCCTGACCTTGTTGAGGACGGCGCACTCCCCTGACTCATTCACCTGCCTCTGGTGGAGTTCAGCTTAACCTGTCCCTTACCTGACTCCCAGTCTCTTGGATGGCATTGTTCCCACCATCCATTAAGCTAGTCTAGCCTCAGACGTATTTGTCATCCCAAGCCCTTGTAATTATAAAATACTTCAAAAGTGTGTCATAGCCATTGGCGGAAAGTGTCGAATGAGTGGGAAAAAGCCCCCACTGCCTCTCCCAACCAGGCAATGAGAGAGAGAGAAAACAAATGCATCTGGGAGCATCTTTCAGCTCCTGTACTAGAATTCCTTGCTAATCTGTTCCCCCTTCTTTCAAAAGATACACAGTCGTTTTTTGTTTGTTTGTTTGCCTTCATTACAGATAAGGATGAGCGGTCTTGAATCGGGATCGATTATTTTTCTCTTGTTTGTTCAGAGAAGAAAATGGAAGCTCACTCATTAATCGTGTTAAGCTGTTCAAAAGGAAAACATTCCTCTCCTTGGCTGGGGTGTGATAAAGAGCTTATAGTCTGCATCTCATCAGAGCTGCCCAGACAGGAACATGATGACGTCTGGCACCCTGGCATTATTTACTGAAAGCATCTCACCAACCTGGCCCGTTTGCCAGCTCTCATTTGCACTTTCACTATTACCAGTGTTTCAAAGTGAAGAAGTCAGCACATGCTGGAACCAGCCTGCCCCACCCACACCCCGCCTCTGCCCTGGCTCTGCTCACTTGGTGTGTGACCTTCCGCGTGTTGTTAGTTCAGCCCTCTCTAAACCTCAGTGCTCTCATCCATAAAACAGGCAGAAAAATAACTCCGACTCTCCAGGGTTGCTATGCGCAGGACATTTTCCACAAAAGCATCCTATACGTGGTAAGAATCTATTAAACGTGGGCTAATTCCGTTATGGAAACTTTCAGAACAGTTCCGTCCAGACAGGTAAAAGGACATTCAAATCTTTTCCTTTCTACACATGTGTGGGATTGCGTCCTGTTCAGCACTTTGGTTTTTCCCTTCATTTTCCACCACAAGGATTTTTCACAACTCTGTGTGTACACACACGGACCCCATTCTTAAAGGCAAACGTAGTACAATTTATTTCACAATTTCCCTTTGTTACTGACATTATTTCTAGTTACTTACTATTAGAGCCTATGGCCGTGGATGCCCTCGTGCATATTTTTTTTTCGTCTGCAGGAATATAGTTCTAGAACTAGAATTCTTGAATTGTCAAGTGAAGCACATTATAAAAATAAAAACATACTAATCGCCCTTTAAGAAGTAGGCACCAATTTACACTTCCAAGAACCATGTATGAAAAGGCCTTTTGCACCACACACTCACCCTTACCCTGAGCATGATCATACTTTTTCATCTCCGTCAATCTATTAGGTATTTTAATGCACATTGCTTGAAATATGTTAGATGAAACATTTTTTCCCACTTTTTTTTTTAAGATTTTATTTATTTATTTGAGAGACAGAGAGAGAGCATGAGTCAGGGATAGAGGCAGAGGGAGAGGGAGAAGCAGACTCCCCGCCGAGCAGGAAACCCGATGCAGGACTCGATCCCAGGACCCTGGGATCACGACCTGAGCGGAAGGCAGACGCTTAACCGACTGAGCCACCCAGGTGCCCCTTTTCCCCACTTTTTTACTATTACCTGTTTATATTCTTTTTCTGTGAGTCTTTTTTTTTTTTTTTTTTTTGGTCATTATTTCTGTTGGTCTACTTGTATGTTTTCTTACTGGTTTACAAATACTCTTTTACAATTAAGGAAATCTGCCACTTTTTCCCAGTGTGAAATACACTTTTTTATTCTGTGGGAACAAAATGTGTGTGTGAGCGAATGTACCCACATGCCACATGGTAGTGTACAATTTAAGATTTGAGGACTGTCAAACTTAATCAGTTCTTTATGGCTTCCCATTTTTGTGTTTTGGCACAAGTCAGTGGTTTCCAAATGTGGCATCTCAATACACTGGGGGACGGCAGTCAGTTGGAGGGTGTTACAGAAATGTGCTAGTAACAAAGACCTGTGGTTTGCAAGTATTTTGCTTTTTAAAAAGTGTACCTAAGTTTTTTAATTAACGTCCAGGAAAGGGCACACAACCCAAAGCCCATCATGTCTCTGCAGGAGCAGTAATCCACGGAAATCCAAGCGGGTGCTGTACGAATTCCACTCTTCGGTGTCAAAGCAGAAAAAAGAGCTAATTCATACTGTGAGGAGTGAACAGATGTAAGGAGCACATGGTTAATGTCTCAATCTAGGGGCACGAGCTTCAGGTAACACCTACGTAGAGGTTTTTTGTTTGTTTGTTTGTTCACGATTATATTTATTTATTTGAGAGAGAGAGAGAAAGACAGTATGAGTGTGATGGGCAGAGGAAGATGGAGAGAGAGAGAATCCCAAGCAGACTCCATGCTGAGCAGGGAGCCCGATGCGGGGCTCGATCCCAGGACCCCAGGACCACGACCCGAGCTGAAACCAAGAGTCGGACGCTCAACGGACTGCGCCACCCAGGCACCCCTGAGCAGAGGTTTTATAAAGCAAAAGGCAAATGCCAGAAATTGCCCTTTGTCCTTTTCTTGGGCCGCTCACCTGAGAGATGACAGGTTCCAACTGCATTTTCTACCAGCTTCCGGAACACCTGGAGGACCTTGGCGGGCACAATGTCTCCCTCAATGTTCACGTCTGCCTCATGCCACTGCCACAGGCTCTTCATAAACTGCTCCACCTCCAGCCACTGCTGCAGGCCCTCCGGGTCCCGCAAGGGGCAGGACAGCCTGGCCCCCTGTAGGGTATAGCATCGCCAGCGTTGCTCCCTTGCCTCCCTGTACCCGGCCAGGCCCCTCACCGGGACGGTGACCAGGAACTGGCTGGGGGACAAAACCTGGGGTCGAGAACGGAGACGGCAGTGTGAGTTCACGGACTTGAGAGGAAACCGCAATCCCCGGGGCGCCGACCTGTCGAGCCGGGGAGCTCAGTGACCACTCAAGCCTCAGCAATGCGCCCAGATGGACAGAGGGCTGCACCTGCCCGCTGCAGGCGGGTTCTGTCTTTGTTCTGCCGCACTAACCACTGTAGTGGTCGGGCAGGTGAGTTCATTCACTGAGCCCTGGGTGTAAGAATCTGCAAGGAGAAGACTGAACCTGACCTGGAACTCGAGGGGGCACCGAAGCAGGGAGAAGAGAAGGCAGGGGAAGGAAATAGTATACAGTGAGTTCTGCACATACTAAGCACTGCAAGTCTCAGGCGTTAGACTGGGTGATCTTCCCAGTTACACGAAGAGGTGGGCTTCATTAACGTTTCCGAGATGAGGAACCTAAAGCTCAGAGGGGCTCTGAGATCTCCCTGGGGACACACAGCCAGTAAGTGGGAGAGCTTAAGCCGTCTGATGGCTTGTTCGGGGGTTGCTTTCTATGCTGGGCTGGCTCTCAGTCAGGGAGGAATGACCTGGATCAGATGAAAGGCCTGGTATGCGAAGAGACAGGAGGAGGAGAAAGGATTCTGCAAAATGTCTCCCTCTCTTTTTGCTGGTACTGATGGTCCACGGCCAGTATTAATGACTGGTCCTTACAAAATCGCAGGTGAAATGAAAGGCAGTTGCTGAGACCACGTGAGCTGTTGAGATGATTCTACATTTAATAAAACTTAGAATAAAGCAAATGATCAGAATCTACCTACTCTGTTTCTATAAGTACCAGTTAGGCAGAGGTCAGGATGAAAGTGGTCAGGTCAACGGTCCAAAGGACAGAACAGATTGGCCAGCACTGCAGTATCCCCAGAAGGAGCTTGACCTCTGGCCACATCACGTGGCAGCCTACTCCACACCACACCTTTTCCCATCAGTCATCAGTTGTGCACTGGAAGATCCACCTCCTTTTCATGGAAATTTCTGACCATGGCATCTGGTTAACCTTTGCTCAGGTCTCTGTCACTGGCCAATTCAGGGGTGAACACCAAACTCTGCCTCATTCTCAGAGAACAACAGTGGGACACTTTAGATAATGGATCCACATGACTTCTGGTGCCCATAGAAAGGTGGTGGGATTAAAAAAGGGAACAAATTTAAACTCCGGCACTCAAAATCAATACCTTCTTTGAACCCACTTGCGTGTGAATTCGAGAGCACAACTATTACGTTAATAGTCACATAAAAGGTGCTTAGTTAATACTTGCTGGATTTGATCCAAGATAAAATAAAAGCAATTTTTATACACCCCACTCCAACTATTTTCAAAACTTAATATGCAGGACAGGATGTATATAAATGCAAGATATATTTTAACCTATGAATTCTAAGTGAGACCACAGAAGGAAATTTCTTTGGATATAATTCTAGGAAAAGTGGTGTTGTGTGTGGCTAAGTCGGTTAAGTGTCTGCCTTCAGCTCAGGTCATGATCCCAGGGTCCTGGGATCAAGTCCTGCATCAGGTTCCCTGCTCAGTGGGAAGTTTGCTTCTCCCTCTGTCTCTGCAAATCCCCCTGTTCGTGCTCTCTCTCTCTCTCTCTCAAATAAGTAAATAAATAAATAAAACCTTTTTTTAAAAAAAAAAGTGGTATTGTGTTTCTACTCCTAGTCACTGGTCTCTATTGGCCTAATGCAGGTTAGAAGGGCGATAGAAGTGGGCAAACGATGTTGTGGTATGTGGGGATCGAATCTACTTTTAGAATTTTCATCCTGGGGCGAATTTCCCAAAATCTGTCCTCTGTCCCCAGATGTGCAGGTCCCAGATTCTTGTGGATGGTCCTTGTGCCCAACAACCTTGGAATGTTCTGGACCAGCAAGGGTCTTCAGTCCAGGCACTTATTTCTTTTACTTATTCATCAATTCCCTGAAGCTGAGCGTCTGCATGGGCCACAACACCATGCTGGGTGCTAGCAATGAAGCGATCAATAAACATGATCTTTACAATCAAGGAGCTTGTAGTCTTGTGTGAGAGATAGGGCACGGATACATATATATCTAATCCAAGTGAAAGCAGTTCTTAGGTGCCATAAGAAAAATCGAGATAAAGGAGCATGGGGACTCAGAAGGGCTCAGAGCCCCACTCGCCTCATCTCTGAAAGGCAACGAGCCATGTCTGTTCCTCAAGGTTGTCTGCAGGTGTGAGGGAGGCCGTTTCTGTGAGGATGGCTCAGCTCACACAACACTGGTGCAGGAAGGCTGGCTGTCATGCATGAGCCCTGGTGGCTTAGAGTCCTGTCTGCAGCGGGGACAGGGGTGGCGAGGCTGTCCCTGCACTTTCTAAGGGCCACCTCTTCCCCATCTTCCTTCCCGCACCTGCAGCCCATAGACTCTCGCTTCCAACCCTTTTCTCGCCAATGCCCTCCCTGAGCTCCTGTCCCCAGCCCCCAGTCTATTAAGCAGCGGCTGCATACATGAATGCGTGCTCAACTAAACTTCAGTTGTTACAGCACAGCGTGCTTGGAGTCCGAAGCCCCGGGTTCAGTTCTGGCTGTTGGGCCAAACAGGACGTGATCAGGACATGTGGCTTCTCGAAGCCTCCATTCTATCATCCATAAAGTAGGACCGTGGGGGCTCACATGACACAGCACCTCTGGAGCGAGGGTGTAAGTGGTAAATACTAAGAGGACCTGTGGAACATGAAGGGTTATTGGTACCCTCAGTCGGGTGATGCCTGGGGCACACTGAGACCCACCCACCCACACACCTTACAGAACAGGTGAGCCCTGCTTACCTTAATGTTCCCATTGTACGTGTCAGAGTAAGGGACGGCCTGGAATCGAATGTCTTGGTGGCTGATTTCTGTGGTCAGCTGGTGGACGACCCTCTGCACGTCCTCCACAATCAGGGAGATCTGCTGGCGCCTCACGCTCACCTGGGTGGGAAGGGAGCAGCAGAGGCGGTCATTCCCAGGGCGGGGCCCAGGCACCGGCAGAGGGACATGATGAGACAGGCCCGGTGGTAGGGGACCACAGGAGCTCCGTCAAACAAGCCGGCCCTCCCAAGAACCCCAGGGCAGGCACATGCACCTAGGGGTGACGGCACTCGCTGGTGGTTCAGCGTTCTCTGAAATACAAGCATTCACTCCGCATTAATCCAGCTCCTGTGTGCGGTGGGCGCTGGGGCACAACAGCGAACGAGAGAAGAGCAAACAAGATAGACGTGTCCCCATATGTAGAGGATAGAGGTACATGTGTGTATAAGCACACGCATATACACGTATATATGCACACACACGTATGTGTGTGTATAATCCAACATCAGGTATGATAAATCCCATGACGACAAATAAAACAGGATAAGGGACTAGAGAGTAAAGGGGCTGCTATTTTAGATCGGGTGACCAGGGAAGGCTTCATCTAAGTGAGCCCTGACAACAGCAGGGGAGAGCAAATTCCGAGGCCCCCTAAAGCAGAAGCATGCCTGGCAAGGCAAGGGGGCCCCTGTGCTTGGACCCAGGAAAAGGGAAAGGAGGGTGACGGGAGATGAAGTTGGAAAGGCTGGCGTGGCCAGCCCATCCCACGGGGCTTTGCGTGCCGTGGTGAGACTCTGAAATGGGGTGAGAATGGTTGCGGTCCAGGTTGGTGGAGATGAAGCCATTCAACGCGTGTAATCATGCCGCAGTTTCCTGTCTTCTGTCATCCATAAATGATGGCTCTCTGGGCCCCAGGATTCACCCTCCCTTTGCTACTAGACCCGTAAGAAAAGGCATGTGTTTATGTTCCCTCAGAATCCGCACTGCAAGTTCCCCAGAACCGGAATTACTATGAGAGAGTTGAGCACCAACGTTATATACGAAGCTTCATAGATACTCAAGGTTTAGGGAACTAGGTGTTTGTGGGGAACACACAGGAACTTTTAGTAAACTCCAGGAGAGTTCGGAAGATCCAAATGAAGAAGAAATGGGAAGAGTCTGTGTTTCCTGAAATGGAGGGGCTCTGTTCTGTTGCTTAGGCTGGTGCCACAACAAGGGTTCCCCCTGGGGAGGCTGCTGAACCTGGCCGGGAACTGACTGGAAGCCATATTTGATATACCTAAATGCAGTGTCCACTGTGAATCTTTATGTTCCCTCTGTTTTGTATAATGGCTGTGTCTATGTATTCTCTAGTCATTGAAGACACCCATAAATTAGTCAAGAAAACTGTCCAAGTCAAAGAGATTTCTAGCTGTTTTTCTAAACTAACTCATCAGCTAGTCCAGTCACCCGGGACTTCATACCTCCCACCAACAAACCCAAAAGAGGTCACAAATGTGCATATGCACACATACTGTATGTCACATGTATAAAGTGTCATATATAAAGTTAGCTCATTGATAAACATTTATTTAGCACCTCTGGGTGCCAGGCACTCTGTGACATGCTGGGGCCCAGCAATGAGTAACACAGACATCACCATGGTTTACAGTAGGTGAGAAGACAGGCGTGAGTACTGAATATAAGCATGGGGGCCATGACAGGGAAGTGGAGGGTGCCCCTGGGTTCAACGGAGCAGGTGGCCTAGTCTGAAGCCTGAGACCTATTTTAAAGGTCCCTATTCCCACACAGGGGAATGTATTTGAAAAACTAATACCCTCCAGATGCCTAGGAATAACAAGAAACATAAGACGAGGCTCCTGATCTCAAGGAAGGAAATACATGATATACACGAAATAGTCTTTTCAAAATCCATGTGTCTTGTCTGACCTTAGATATGATGATCATGTCTACATAGGCTTTTAATGCCATCTTCTTGCCACCAGCTACCCACCCACCACTCTCGTATGTCCACCCACTACATTCATCACGGGAGGGCACCTTTCTTGAGCATTTGTAAGCTATTGAGATTCTGCATCTTCCTGTGTCCAAGTGGAAGAGAAAAGGTGGTCACGGAGGGGGCAGATCATTTGCCATGACAAAAATAAAGGAGAATGCATTTAGTAGCCCACGATGAAGGGTCCCTGCAGGGTAGGACCTCTATGTGCTGTGATTCAACTCCATTAGATCAATTTTGTTGAACACTTTATGCCAGGTGCTATGTGTACGTGTTTATTGTCAAGAGGTTTACAGCTGACACAACAGAGCAAGACAAATAGACTGGAAAATAAAGTCACAGCAATCTAGTGCTGTGTAGAGGTCTGTCTGGGATGCTATGGGTACATAGATGCTAAGTATGGGTACGGGATGCTACGGGTACATGGAAAAGGGAAATATCATCTAGTCTGGACGCTGGGGTCTCTTCCTGGAGGCATAGTGTAGGGGAGTTGTATCTTGAAAGATTAGCAGGCGTTAGCTAGAAAGAGAAGGGTGTGAGGGTTGTTCAAGAAAGAGCAAATGGCAGGTATCTAGCATGAGGAGCACAGGGGGTTGCAATGGTTCTCCTATATTGCTGGAGAAGAGACTGCCTTGGAGGAGGACGGCGAAATGGGAGAATAAGCAGCAAGAGGTCTTGAAAATCAAGGAAGAAGAATTTCAAGAACAAAGTCAACATTAAGTGGCTGAAATGAGATAGGGCCGCAAAAATGTCCACAGTGTTTGACAACTAGAACAGGATCGATGTGTTCAGGGAAGGGGTGGGCATTTAAGCCAGATTGCAGTGGGTAAAGAGTAAGTGAGTGGGAGGTGAGCAAGCGAACACAGAGGTAAGCAACTCCTCCAGGAAGTCTGGCCAGGGAAGGGGAAAAAAAAACAGGGTTTTTTCGAAATGACACACAGGTTTGAACACATTTAAATGCTGAGAGAAAGGAGCCAGTGGGGAAGGAAGAGGCAGCAGGGAGCTAAACCACTGACTCAGGGTTTCCCACCCAGAGCGTCATGCAAATCCAGAAACCTGGTGAGCAATTCACGTTGGCACATCAGAAGGAAAGAAAGAAAGGTGCAAGCACAGATAAAAAGGTAGGAGTACAGGAATAGGAGAGATTTCCTGTCTAAGGGCTGTTTTCTTTACAGAGCAGGAGACAAGGCAATGTGCTATGAGTGAGGTGGGGAGGGGACCATAGGAGACTTCGGGGTGACAGACTTTGGAAATCACATCTCTGAGGAATGGGGGCTGTTCAGGCACCACGTGCGGACTGCCAGGCAGTCCCAAGATTCAGTTGTGGGGGGTCCACGGAGCTGTGGCATATCGGTGGGCTCAGCTGTAAGATGGTCTCCACACCTCGGCCCTCCAAAGGTAACAATGGAGGTGCTAAGGCTAGGGCTTGCTGGGCGGAGAAGGCTAAGGCAACAAGGGAAGGTTTCTGTGGTGGGCCATGTTTTCCAGCTGGGGGAAGAAAATGGACAAAACCATTTAGTAGATTAGGGAACACTGGACAATGTCAGGGACCAGAAGTCTGATCAGGAATGGCAGGAGAGGGGCACCTGTGTGGCTCAGTCAGTTAGGCGGGCTGCCTTCGGCTCAGGTCATGATCCTGGGGTCCTGGGATCGAGCCCCACATCGGGCTCCCTGCTCAGTGGGGAGTCTGCTTCTCCCTCTGCCCTCTGCCTGCCACTCCCCCTGCTTGTACTCTCTTTCTCACTATCTCTCTGTCAAATAAATAAATAAATAAAATCATTAAAAAAAAAAAAAGAATAGCGGGAGAAAGTCATACAAGGCTAACTAGACAGAACACCGCAGTCAGAGTGGTTGGGAAATACTCTTCTCAAATAGCTAATTTCTTAGACTGTGTTGAGGACTAAGGCTCAGCCACAAATCCTCCAAGTCCACTGATGTGAGTTCATAGAACTCAAATGTCAGTAACATAGTGGTAACTCTATACATGCATGTACATTTTGTTTCCTGAGTTGATAAACTAATGAAAGATTCATCACCATATTGACACTGTCAATTTTTTTTTTTGAGAGAGAGAGCAAGCAGGAGGGGCAGAGGGAGAGGGAGAGAGAGAGAATCTGGAGCAGGCTTCACACTCAGAGCAGAGCTGGACAGGGGGCTCAATCTCAGGACCCTGAGATCATGACCTGAGCCAAAATCAAGAGTTGGATGCTCAGACCCATCTGAGCCACCCAGGCGCCCCGACCCTGTCAAATAAATTTTAACTGATAAAAGCTTGAGAGAAAAAGTATGTGTGTGTGTGTATGATGGGTAGTCTACTGGATAAAAGTTCTCCACTGTGAATCTCTTCTACAAATTCTGCCCTCCCTGGATGATGGAATTTCCTTACTGGGCAGAGCTCCCAGGTCACACACTCCCTGGAAGACACCTGTAATCTCTCACTCATTATACATCTTTATGACTTGCTTTGATTTCTGAAAGTAGAAATCAGAATAAGGGAATACTTTTCTGGGCCTAGAGCCATAAATTCTGGTTTTGATTTCCTTCATCCGTTACTGCCACTGCTATTTTGACTCGGGGTCTTAGAATTGGAAGAGACCTCAGAAATCAACTTGTCTGGTGTCACCCTACAGGAGGCCAGAGCAATGGGTGGTTCTCCTAATGTCACACTGGCAGTTGGCAGTAGGGCTGGCCCTATGTCCAGGATCCCTCACTGCTCTTTCTGTCCCTCTGTTCCGTACCCTCGAGTAGACGCTCCAGAAGTAATACCTACCTCGATCCTCTTCCTGAACCTAACCATGCCCTCCACTTGAACTGAAGTCAAGGCGCATGAAGTAACAGATCCAAAGTCTCCATTAATCTGGGCGTCACGGACTGTTCTGGCACCCACAGGCACCCCAGGGCAACACAGCAGGGGTCTGAGTGTGAGTCAGGTGGAAGCCTCTTCCCTGCAGGTGGTGATGGGCCGCGTCGCTGGCCACACTTCCTGCGGTCAGTTCTTCCCTCTACATCTCTATGGACCACGTGCTCTTCAGCAGCCCCAGAAGGGACTTACGCTGAAGGTTTCCCAGGCTCCGTCCCACAGACCACTCGTCACTCCCTTGGTGTCAATCAGCACCCAGAAACC